GGGTCTAAGAGAGCTCCTTGGTCAAAAGTCACAAGAGACCTAATTCCTCCACTGGGGCACCCATGGCATTGATCACCCATCTGTGGCCCTCTGTTGGTGCTAGATGCTTTTAGATCCTCTCCTTCGGGAGATCGTGGTAAGGTGGAGGGGGCAGCTAACACTGCCTCGGACACTGACAGGCTCTCTGGTGGTCTCGTGGATCTGGGAAGGCAGGCGGTTCCCCCTCTTAGGCTGTGTAGATGAGCGCCCTTGGTTCACTGTTGGAATGCTCTGGTTAGGCCATGTTGTATCTGCCCACATCCCTCAGTCCCCGCCCAGCCCTGTGAGGCAAGGGCTGCCATTGTCCCTCTAACGAAATGTAACCTAACCTTTTTGGGCTTCAGCTTTGCTGCTTCCTTCAGACCAGCTCTCCCGCTCTCCACGTCTCTGGGCTCTCCTGTGCCCAGACCTGGGGCGCTGGCCTGGCCATCAGAGGGTTGTTCAGTGGGACAGTGCTTGGATAGGGTGGAGTGATGATATGCTCTTACCCAGGGTCCCCAGGGCATGGTGATTGCATGTGCCAGGCTGTTGGTAGGCAGGTTAGGTGTGTGGTTCAGCTTATAGGTGGGGACATGGCCTCCTAGGAGTGTCTCAGGGACTGAGTAGTATCAGCTGGGCAGGTCCTAGGTAGAACCCAGAGTAGGGGAGAAGGGGACAGCATGATGGTGCAGTGTCCAGAAATAATGGGTGCTGATGGGGGTGCCAGAAGGGAGATTAGGGCAGGTTGGGGCTGGGGCGCCAGGTAGTCTAAGCAAAACAGGTCCAGGACTGGGGAGGAAGGAGGTTTTCATGGACGTTGGGGCCAGCTCTGCTACCCCTGCCCTGACCCCTGGTCCCTCAGGCAGGGACCCTCCATAACTCCATAACAAAGGAGGGAAGGACATTTTTCAACTCTGGGCTCTGAGTACAGTATAGACCTAGAGCTAGGGGGCCCTCCTAGGGAAGGCCTAGCACCTCCTGCCCAAAAGGGCCCAGGCTGAGCACAGGACACTGCGGGGAACGGGGCCTGGGATGTGCAGAGGAAACCGATGGGCTAGAGTGGAAGTGAGTCAGGGTGAGTCACTGCCTGGCAGGTGTAGGCGTGCTGCTGACCCTTCCCCGTCCCAGCACAGGTGTTTGTCAGGCATTGGTGGGGTCTGGGCTACAAGAGCCCCTTTTCTGGAGCACTCGCACGTGGTGAACCACAGGGGAACAGGGCAGCCAGGAAGGGGTGCCGGCAGGGACCTAGGAGGACTTGCCAAAAGAGGAGGCTTCCTCTGAGCCTTGAAGAAGGCCCTCTGGGGAGGGGAGCCCTCTGCTCATAGGACAGGCGCCGGCATGCCTGGGGCGTTGGCCAACTGGCCTCAGGAGTGAGATCAGAAGTGGGGGGTAGGACCGGGCCTGAGGGACCAGGGGTCAGGGCAGGGGTAGCAGAGCTGGCCCCAACTGTCATCCCAGAGGTCTTGAGGAGCAAGAGTGGAACACTCGCGTGTCACCAGGAAGCGGGTGTGGGCTCTGAGCAGTTGTAGGCACTAAGACCAGGCTCTGCACTGGGAGTCCCAAGGTGCCATGACACCCCTGTTGCCCTCCATTGGGTCTCTCCTGGGGGGGTCCCCTTCTCTGTCAGTCCCTGGCTGTATCTCTGGCTCCCCTGCTTCCTGGGCCTTGTCTGGTGTCTGGACCGGGTCTCTCAGCCTTGATGTTTCGACCCACATGCCCTCCCCGAAAGAAGCGCCCTAAAACCCTGTGCCAGTAAGGTGGGGAGGGGGCTGGCTGCCGCAGCAGTTCCGGCTTCCCTTGGGTCCCCCCTAGAGAGCCAGACAGGTCTAGGTCCTGTAATCTGGGGGTTCTGGGAGGGCAGGGGCCAGTCTTGCCTGCATCATTGCACCAGGTGCCTGGCCCAGAGTTTGCGAAATGACCATACTTTTCTCTAGCTGAAGGATGCACGTGGGTCAGAGCAGTGCAGGGCCCTGGTTCCCCGCAGCTGAAGAATGTTGGAGAAAGCAGTTGGGTCGGGCCGCCAGCTGGCTGCCATACTTTGATTGGGGCTGGGCGGGGACTAGATAGTCTGCCTCCCGGGCCTACAGGAGGCCTCCCTCAGCGTTCACGGAGAGTGCACCAAGTGGGACAGCCTAGGGGCCCCTGCTCCTCGGGCCCGGAGTCCCTCCCTCTGGTGTGTGTAGCACTGACGGCCGGGTCCTCTCTGGGGGGGGGGTCTCTCTTGGTGGTGGTTGGGCCTCTAGGCTACCTCAAGTGTGACATGGACGATGCCTCGGAAACCCGTGAGGAGAACCTGGGGGATGAGGCCTTCGACACGGTCACCTCCTCCATTGTGTCTGGCGAGAGCATCCGTTTTTTTGTCAACGTCAACCTGGAGGTGCAGCCCGCCCAGGCTGGTATGGGGGTCGTAGCAGGGCCAGGCTGGGGGAGGGCAGGGCACCGGGGACCGGGCAGACACGGCCGCGCTCCGCCAAGAGTCCCGAGGAAGCGGGGCGGCCCCCTGAGCCCTCCCGCTTTCCTCTAGCCGAGAGTGAGTCGCCGGGCGGCTGCGGGCTCCTACACACCTCCCGCAAGGTGAGTGGCCCGTCTGCAGGACAGGGGACACTTGGTCCTGGGCCACTGATCGAAGGGGGGGGTGGGGCGGGGGGAGGTGGCTGCTCCCCGTCACACTCAACAGGGGTCTCACACCGGCCCTCGGTCTGGCTGCGGGGGCCCGCCGTGCCGGGCTATCCCTCTTGGAAGGGGTATTGGTCTCGGTGGGCAGGGGCAGCCAGGGGACCAGCACAGAGGAGAGGGCCCAGGGGGCGACGGTGGATCGCACTCACGGGCCTCCGTGGTTCTGTGCGTGGGGGTCCCCACAGTACCTGAAGTTAAAGAACTTTGAGGAAGAGGTACGTGCACACCGGGACCTCGACGGCTTCCTGGCACGGGCCAGCATCATCCTGAACGAGACGGCTACCTCGCTGGATGATGTGCTGCGGGCCATGCTGTCCCGCTTAGCCCATGACCCCCACAACACCGAGCCCGACTGCAATTTGCGCCTGTTCATGGCCATGCTCTTCACGGATGCCGGGGCTCCCATGGAGGGTAAAGGTGAGGCCCAGCTGCCCGACTGGGCAGGGGTGGTCAGGGAGGCGGGCTGACAGACCCTCTTACCCCTTTCACTCCGGCCTCAGCCCACCTGCTGTCAGACACCATCCAAGGGGTCACTGCCACTGCCACAGGGGTGCAATACCAGCAGTCCTGGATCTGCATCATGTGAGTTGCCAGGACACCACAGCCGGCCTCCCCGCGGCTCAGCCTGACCCCCCCGGGTCTGAGGGCAGAGGGTGTGGGCACTCTGTCCCGTTTGGTCTCTTTCTCTCCCTAAGAGAGGTCACTGGGGGGGTCAGAGTTAGGGGTTCCGGGAGCCCGGCTCCCAAGGTGACAACCGTGTGCTGCGTGCCCTCCCCACCCCGGCAGCTGTACCTCCAAGGCCCTGCAGAAGCGGCACGTGTGCATCAGCCGGCTGGTTCGCCCACAGAACTGGGGAGAGAACTCGTGTGAGGTGCGATTCGTCATCCTGGTGCTGGCCCCGCCCAAGATGGTGAGTAGGGGGTCTCGCGGTGGCTCCTGGGAAGGAAGGCTCCAGGTTACCTGGCCGTCTTCTTGGAGGCATCTCTTCCATGTGCCGGAGAATCCCACAGTCCGGGGCTCATGCTCACACTGTCCGTCACATCCGCCCTACTGAGTTTCTCTGAAGCGTCCTTGCTGGGTCCTCGTCAAGCCCTAATTTCCCCCAGACGTTGCCCGGGAAGTTGTATTTACTTCTTGACTGAAAAGAGATACTTGTTAAAATTCGTATCCCTCAAATACGGGAGCTTGTCATTGGCCTCCCCCCACCCCAGTCCTTCTTTCAGTTGGTCGCTTTTGTGATTTGCTGGCCAAGGATCCCCGCTTCTGCCTGGGCCATACACCCCCCTGGTCAGGGGCACCTTGCTTTTGTGCGAGCTGAGGTTGATATAGTTCGAGGAGTCTTTTTTCAAGGAAAATGATTTTTTTTAATGTTTATTTATTTATTTTGAGAGAGAGAGAGCGTGCACAGGGGAGGGGTGAAGAGAGAGAGAATCCCAAGCAGGCTCCACGCTGTGGGCATGGAGCCCAACGTGGGGCTCGATTTCAGTAATCTCAACATCATAACCCAAGCCGAAATCAAGAGTCAGACGCTTAACTGAGCCACCCAGGAGTCCCTCAAGGAAAAAGATTTCCAAATCATAAATAGAAAACGGCTAAGGCTGCTGCCCAGGACTGAGAAGGGCCTTCATGCTTCAACTTCCTCTAGCTTCTTGATGATTCTGCCCTTGCCTCTGGTACAGACTCAAGCTTGGCATGGCCCTCCTCTGTAGGCTTTCTGTAGGAAAAGCGGGTGCCCCCCAGCAATTTCACAGACGTGCTGTGAGCCTCCCCGAATGCTACTTTGCTGGTGAGAGAGGAAGAGAATTTAGGGAAGTGGGCAGCTCATGGGTCAGAGAGGGCAACAGCTGGCCAGGTGGCCAGAGCAGTGGAAGAGACAGTATCCCCAGGGCTGAGCAGCTAGACTGGTGCCTCGTGACAGGCCAACCAGCCCAACGCCTGGCTCCTCGGGAGAACGAGACTGTTCTTAAGCTAAAGGGAGCAGAGTGTGGGCTGGCCGGCCCTGGGACTACTGCTTTGGGGCAGCCTGAAGGGGCAGATACTGCTCTCAGGGGACAGGTTGCCATGGTAGAGGCTGGACCCTAAGTTCATGGACAAAGTTGACTTTAGTCAGGAAAGGGGAAGGCTTGACAGGCCTGGAGCCCCTCTGAAAATCAAATAAACCAGAGGCACCTGGGTGGCTCAGTTGGTTAAGTGTCCAACTCTTGATGTCAGCTCAGGTGTCGATCTCAAGGTTGGGAGTTCAAGCCACACATTGGGCTCTGCGCTGGGCATCGAGCCTACATACATACATACATACATACATACATACATACATACATACCTGCAGACTGTACGAATACCACTAGTGAAATGGAGCTGGGTGAACGTTCTTCTCCATCGCTGTGATTTCATCATCCACGATTATACAGATTTATGTTCCTTGGGACAATACCACTACCTCAGTTTATAAGAACTCATGAGGTTTTTGTTTTTAATTTTTTTAATGTTTATTTATTTTTGAGAGACAGAGCATGAGCGGGGGAGAGGTAGAGAGAGAGAGGGAGACACAGAGTCCGAAGCAGGCTCCAGGCTCTGAGCTGTCAGCACAGAGCCCGACGCGGGGCTCGAACTCACAAGCCGTGAGATCATACCCTGAGCCAAAGTCGGATGCTTAACCGACCGAGCCACCCAGGCGCCCCATAACTCATGAGTTGTTTTTTTTTTAATGTTTTTATTTATTTTTGAAGGAGAGAGAGAGACAGAGCCTGAGCAGGGGAGAGGTAGAGAGAGAGAGGGAGACACAGAATCCGAAGCAGGCTCCAGGCTTTGAGCTGTCAGCACAGAAACCGACGCAGGGCTCGAACTCACAAACCTCGAGATCATGACCTGAGCCGAAGTCGGACGCTTAACTGACCGAGCCGCCCAGGCGCCCCACTCATGAGTTTTTTAAGGAAGTTCTGAGACTGCCTGTGGTTCTAGTGATCTGCTGACCTGGTGGGAATCATGGTAGAGTCCACTAACACTTGACCTTTGGGGGACAAAACTTGCTGCCAGCTCACAGTGGGGGGCACTTGCCACATGCTTTGGACTGTCAGTGATGGGCAGGGCAGGGTGCCCCCCACTCTCGAGCTGCAGATGTGATTCTCCTGTCCTCTGCCCCCAGAAAAGCACCAAGACTGCAGCTGAGGTGGGGCGCACATTCGCCACCATGTTCTTGGACATCACCTTCCGCCAGAAGCTCCTGAACACCCGCACGGAGGAAGAATTCAAGGAGGCTCTGGTGCATCAGAGACAGCTGCTCACCATGGAGAGGCAGCGTTCATCCATCGGGACAAAGGGTTACATGAACTCCATCAGCATACACAAATCCCCACAGGTACAGGGGAGAGGAGGGCGTGGGCGAGTGGCCTGTGGCGTGGGCCATGGGCCTCAGGGCTGACGGACATCTGTCCTCTTGCCCAGCCCCCGAAGCACAAGGACTTTCTCCCTATGGGGAAGGGCATCCGGGAGGACATCGCCCGCAGATTCCCTGTGTACCCACTGGACTTCACTGACGGTAGGTGGCCCTGTCGTCCCCCCGAGAGCTCAGCCTACGGCTTAGGTCCCAGGACGACACATGTGCCTGTCTTGCATCCCCAACACACTTTCTGTGCTGTCCCATTCCCAGGCATTATCGGCAAAAATAAGGCTGTGGGCAAATACATCACCACCACCCTGTTCCTCTACTTTGCCTGCCTCCTGCCTACCATCGCTTTTGGGTCCCTCAACGATGAGAACACCAACGGGGCCATCGGTGAGGGGCTGGAGGCCGGTGAGGGTGTGGCGGGGGGCCGAGCACTGCGGCACCTGCCCGACCTCCCCTTCCCCCACTTCTCAGATGTGCAGAAAACCATAGCAGGGCAGAGCATTGGAGGCCTCTTGTACGCACTCTTCTCTGGGCAGCCGCTGGTGGTACTGCTGACCACTGCGCCCCTGGCCCTCTACATCCAAGGTGCAGTGGCCCTTCCGGTGGGAAGGTGGTTCCCACGGTCCCTGGCCCCAGCCTGGCCCTGACCTCCCACCCCTGCCCTGCTGCCTGCAGTAATTTCTGGCATCTGTGAGGACTACGATCTGGACTTCAACACCTTCTACGCGTGGACGGGCCTGTGGAACAGTTTCTTTCTCGCGCTTTATTCCCTCTTCAACCTCAGCCTGCTCATGAGTCTCTTCAAGAGGTGACAGAGCCTTCCCCGAGCTGCTGGGACCCTCAAGCAGGAGGGCGACGAAGGCCGGGGAGCTTGGTCAGCTTCCATGCTGGCCTCTGAGGTCCTGTAGCTCTGCAGTGGATGGGGTGCCCCCACCATATCACTGCCCCAGGAGAGAAGCATGCGACCCTGGTCTCCATGGCAGGAGGATGGGGGGCTGTGCAGAGGCTCAGGGAAGCCTACCCTGTGGCCCCCTGACAACTCACCCCCATTTGCTGAGGCATTATCACCCCCTGGCAGGTCAACAGAAGAGATCATTGCCCTGTTCATTTCCATCACGTTCATGCTGGATGCTGTCAAGGGCATGGTTAAAAGTGAGTGTCTAGCTGGGTGGCTACCTGCTGCAGGGGGAGCTCAGTTGAGCAGGGGGACTGTGGGCTGTGACCAGGGCAGCCAAGCAGCCTCCAAGCTGAGGCTACTGCCACAGTCCAGGGTGCTCTGGGGACCTGTGACTAGCAGAGAGCAGCAGCCCCATGTAATGGAGGGTGACCGGGCTGCCTCAGGCAGGATCAGAGGCGCCGGGCCATGCGTGAGCCACTGTCAGAGATGGGGGTGGGGGGTGGACAGGCAGGTCAAGGGGGTCCTGGCTGACAGAGAAAGGCAGTCCCCTCCCTTCCCCCCTGCCCCCAGAAGCCTTTTCTCCCCTCAGGGCCCCCTCCGCCCCACATCCAGGAGGAAGCTGGGCCTCAGTCTCCCAGAGCCCCGATGGCTGAGGCCTGCTGGCCTGTATAGTCTTCCAGAAGTACTACTATGACAACTTTGGGAACCACCATGAAGACAACACTTCTATGGTGAGCCTGCTGGGCCTCGGCACCAGCCTCAACACCAGCCTCCACACCGCCCTCAACACCAGCCTCCTGGCGAGCCCCCTGGAGTTGACCTCCGTAAGCGGCCCTGGTACTGAGCACCCGGGCCGGGAGACTGCTGTACTGAGCCTCCTGATCATGCTGGGCACGCTGTGGCTGAGCTACACCCTCTACCAGTTCAAGAAGAGGTGAGGGGGGCCTCGGGGTGAGGGGAAGGAGGCACCGGCCCCCAGGCCGCGCTCATACACCCGCCTGCGTCCCCAGCCCCTACCTGCACCCCTACATGAGGGAGATCCTGTCAGACTGTGCCTTGCCCATCTCGGTGCTCACCTTCTCCCTCATCTGCTCCTACGGCTTCCGGGAAATTAAAAGTGAGTTGGGCTCAGGCAGGGGCCGCGGTGGGGTGGGCTTGCTCCTCGGGGCTGCAGGCTTGAGCAGGGGCCTGTACCCTGCTGCAGTGAGCCAGTTCCGCTACAACCCCAGCAAGAGCCTGTTTGAGGTAGCCGAGATGCACTCCCTGTCCCTGGGCGCCGTCACCAGTGCCATGGGCCTGGGCTTCCTGCTCTCCTTGCTCTTCTTCATTGAGCAGAACCTGGTGGCTGCCTTGGCTAATGCCCCAGAGAACAGGTTTGCGGGGCTGGGTGGGGAGGGGCGAGTGCGTGCCCGGCCCTCCGAGGGGCCACGGGTGTCCCGCCACACGTGCCCCTGTCCGCTGCAGGCTGGTGAAGGGCACCGCTTACCACTGGGACCTCCTGCTCATCGCCATCATCAACAGTGGGCTGTCTCTGTTTGGGCTGCCCTGGATCCATGCCGCCTACCCCCACTCCCCACTGCACGTGCGGGCATTGGCCATGGTGGAGGAGCGTGTGGAGAACGGTCACATTTACGAGACGTGAGTGTGAGAGTGGTCCCTGGAGGCCGGAGGCAAGTCATGTGGACCCTGAGGTGGGGGTAACCCTGGGCCACCTGTGACCTAGGAAGGGATACGGCTCAGGAGACTAGGGCCCCAGAAGTGAAAGAGCCCAGGGCCCCACGTGTGACCTGAGGCGGGGGTGGGGGGGCGGCATGCCCCGCACACCAGGGCCGGAGGTGATCTGGCGCTCTGGGACCGCACAGGATCGTGAATGTGAAGGAGACACGGCTGACTACGCTGGGTGCCAGCATCCTGGTGGGCTTCTCCCTCCTGCTGCTGCCCTTCCCCCTGCAGTGGATCCCCAAGCCGGTGCTCTACGGCCTCTTCCTCTACATCGCGCTCACCTCCATTGACGGCAACCAGCTCTTTGAGCGCGTGGCCCTGCTGCTCAAGGACCAGGTGAGTGTCCGGCCTGGAGAATGAGGGGTGGGGGAGGGAGGTCCAGTTCCAGACCGGCCCACACCTGGCCCCTGCCGCCCCGCAGACCTCGTACCCGCCCACCCACTACATCCGGAGGGTGCCCCAGCGGAAGATCCACTACTTCACGGGCCTGCAGGTCATGCAGCTGCTGCTGCTCTGTGCCTTTGGCATGAGCAACCTGCCCTACATGAAGATGATCTTCCCCCTCATCATGATCGTCATGATCCCCATCCGGTACGGGACGGCGGGCAGAGGCAGCAGAGACCCCACTGGGTGGGAGACAATGGGTTAGGGTGGGCGGTAGGCCAGAGGGGCCCAGCCTGGCCCCATGGGGGGTTGCGGGGAGTAGCCTCCGCCTTCTCCTCTCTGACCCAGTGCTCATCTTGCGGTCTGTTCGCTGTCCCCGCAGCTACAACCTGCTGCCCCGAATCATTGAAGCCAAGTACCTGGACGTCATGGATGCTGAACACTGAGGCCCTGGCCGTGTCCCATTCACCTGTCCCTTTGGCTCTTCCCAGGCTGACTGTAGCCATGTGGGGAGAGGTACGGGTGTCTTTTGGGGTGTTCCTGTGTGCTGCACTCCCACCCAGCTGTCCCAACAGGCCTAGGACATCTGGGCATCAAGGTGGGGGGGGGGGTTCCGTGGCGTGTGCCCATCCCTGTCCCCATTAGCCTTTCGCTTGGGTCAGTAACACTGCTCAGGACAACTTCTGCCCAGAGTGGAACTAAAGCCGGATTTTCTTTTGATAAAAGAGTCAGATGTCTGAAAGAGAAACCATTTCCTTGATTGTATAAGGAATTTGCTGTGTGCACATTAGAGAATAAAGCTCCCGTTTCTACGCTTCCATCTCTGTTGTCCCACCCTGCCCCGGCCTCAGAAGGCCACCTGAGAATAAAAAATTGTGAAGGGGAGGTGGAATGAAAAGGACCGGTGTTTGTGGAGCGCCGTCTGTGGACTGTCCCCTCTGACCCCGCACAGTGGATGCTGGTCCAACAGGGAAACGCGGAAAGATCCAGGCCTCGGTGTTGCTGTGTTGCCAGGAAACTGCAGGGGAAGTATTCTGGGAACAGCATGTGCGAGGGCCCTGAGGAGGGCCCTTCGGGGCCAGTGAAGGGCCATGGCTGGTGGAGAGAGCAGGGCTGATGACCATGAGCCTGGGTTCCCAGAGGCAGCTTCAGAGCAGCCCAACAGATTGAAAAACAGGCGCACGTAGGTCAGAGCTGCAGTTGCAACGTGTCCCCTCTGCTGAGTGGGTACAGATTTTATACGTTGGGGGGTATGGGTACGGGGGCGGGGGGGCAGGGGCTGCACTTTGCACCAGGGCCCTGAGAGTGGGGATGAACTGAAGTGGGAAGAATCCAAATGGCAGGATGCAGGGATTGGTTTGCCGGAGGGGAGAAGGTGCCGTGTTTCTGGTCTGGTCATTTGGTGGTTGGCCAGAGTCCGTGGCGGGAGCAGGGAATACAGATCTGAGACTCTGGCCATATCGGGGGCACCGGCAGTGGTAGAGCACCTGGCTCACGGACCCCATCACACACCTTACAGGACTTTGGCTTGACAAATACACCACAGACCAAGGGAGACATCTGCTACCTCTAATAACTAGATATGCTAAGAATTTCTGCAAACCAACAAAAAAAGACCATGACTCCCAACCCCCAATAGAAAAGAGGAAAACCTGCGGTGGGGGGCACCCAAACGGTAACAGGCGGCAAGAATGCCCTTGGGTACCTGAGAAATGCAACCCGACGGTGAGATGGTATCTTCCACTTATAACTGGCAACAATGACCCTGCCCTGGCTGGATGGACGGCAGAGCGGGAGAGGTGTATCCCCTGGCTCGCTGACTGGAGGAATGGGGACCGGGCACAATCAAGACCCGTCTTCCAACTGCGTGACTGCTCCTGGGCAGGTGGCGTGGGTCCGAACACTCACGGCGCTGTGTGCGGGGATGGGTAGCTCAAGGTTAACAAAGGGGGACAGTGTCCTGTGGACCCAGGACATCACTTTAAGAGTTGAGTAGCAAGCACAGAGGGCTGCCCTGCCCTAAGCCCCAGGTCCCCACTCCATCCATGTGGCTCATGATCCTTTGGGGCCCCCTCCCCAGGGGCCTAGGTGTCCCCTGCAGGTAGGGCCTTATCCAGAATCACCAGGCCAGGAGCAGACAGGTCCCCAGTACCCCATGCCTGAGCCCAGTCAGACGTCACTCACTACCAAGGAGACAACTAGAGAAGGCTGGGTCTGGCCCTGGCACTTCCTGGGGAGATAAGCCAGCTGAGCCTCACAGGCAAGTGGGGAGCAAAGGAATGCTGTTCTGTCCTCACCCACACACAATGATGCAGTTTCAGGGAGGAAACAACAGTTAAACTCAGGCCCTGGGCCATGCTGCCAGGACTGAGGAACAGTGACTGGAAGTGACATTCTCCAGAGCTGCCTGTGAGCACAGAAATAAGCCCGGGAGGGACTCCCAGCATTATGTTCTCCCCTCCCCCATTGCACACAACAGGCTTTTCTGAATATCCTCAGGGTGGGCACCTCCTCCTTATCAGAGAAACCTGCAGGGAAGGAAAGGGAGCCACCCCAGGCCCCTTAAAGTCCCGTCCAGAAAATGGCTTCACTGGGTCACAGCGAGGGCCTGGGGCAGCTGAGACAAGCTTCCCGAAAAGCTTGGAGGCCCCAGGCTGAACCATGTCATGTCATCCCACTGGGATCAAGATTCCACCCTGTTCCCCTGCCATACAAATGAACTTGGCATTATAATCATAAACCAACACTTTGGCTGCTCTAATGCCATAGTGAAATACTGCAACAGCACTCAACATTCTTCATTGCCTGCCCCCAACCCAGCAAACACCATGGAGGCCAGCTGGGTGGTGGCATCCCACAATGGGTGGGTGGGCGGTGTGGATCTGGCCAAGAAAAGATCAGCTTGTGATCAGAGACTTCAAGAACGAAAGGAAAGATGCGCTACTCCAGCACCCTCAGCTGCCGCCCTTGTCCCACCATCACCCCCAACCTGAGAGGTTTCCTGCTCCTGCCAAAAGGGACTCGGGAGACAGACAACTGCCCAGGGCAGGTTTCAAAATGGACGTATCGTTTATTTTGGAGACAAGTGTCTTCCAGTACTCTTACTTGTTGCATTTTTTACACATCTAGGGCTATTTGTGTGGTTCTTCCCGAAACCTCCATCCTGATGTGGCCAGGATAACATCCAAGGTCCTTTTAGGATCCTAAGCCAGGGGCTGCAGGAGGGACCACTGAATCCCCGAGGGCAAGAAAATGGTGTCCCTGCCCAAAGTTTCTCCAAGCAGAGCCAGCTGCTCCTCCAAGCAGGGCTGGTGAGGTGGTCTCAACACCCCTAGCAAGTGGGAACCCTGAAGGAAGTACTTGGAGGGGTGCCTGATGGGGGAGGTTTCGGGCTAGCTTTCCCCAGATCCCCCGCCAGGGCAACTGTCACCGGCTACCGGAGGACTCAGGCTGCCAAAGTATTTCTGCAGCTCAAGCAGGGCCCGGAAGCGATGGGAGATGGTGTTCTTCTCAGCTTTGGGCATCTCTGCGTACCTAAGGGGCAACAGCAGCAGTTCAGAGGAGCCCGGATTCAGGGGGTGTGCATCCCTCACCTGCCTCGGAGCCCCAAGCTCAAGGAGTCACCAGGAAAGGGTGGCAGGGCCACCAGCTCCTGACAGCCAGGGTTAATTTTTTAAAAAACTGGAGAGAATTTTAAATTCCCCTGTAGCTGGAAACCCATATTAATGAGTGCGGAAAGATGTTAGATTTGCTCTACTGTCCAAAAGTCATTAAGGGAAGCCAGGGACTGGGGGATAAGCTACATATTTGATCAGCTTTGTCATCTGTTGACAGGAAGCAGTGGGGCCTGACAGAGCAAATACGACAGTCTCCTCTCATGTACTGCGGGGGTGGCACGGGACAGCCGACCAGTGGCCACTCCTCCACATCAGGACTCTAGAGAATCCCACACCCCACTTGGGTACTTTAGAGCCGTGCTGTCCGCTATGTGGCCACTAGCCACAAGCGGCCATTTGAACTGAAATCTACCACAATGGAGTAAAAATAATTTCAGTACCTCAGCCACCCTAACCACGTGTTGGATTGAACAGAGCGGACATAGAGCATTTCTGTCCCTTGCATTCTTGGGGCTTCATGTTGTCCTCAGCCCTGTTTGGCTATTGTGAGGCCCCAGGCCACACTCCCTAAGGGCCCCTCTAGCCTGGAACACTTGATTCCAATAATGGCCAACATGTCCAGTGTAAATAAAGGGGGTGGGGTTTCCGTGACACACTGAGAACGCTTGGCACCGTGGGGGTTTCATGCGGTGCCCACCAGAGGCTATAAATATTAACGCTTTTCCAAACCAGATAGGGAAGTCGAATCATCCCACAGAACTGTCAGGGCGGAAAGGGGAAAGCACTGCAGTCCGGCAGCTGCTCCATGGCGAGCTGGAGCCCGGGCGCCCAGGACTCCCAGCTCCGCCCGGCTGCCCCTACGCTGGAGACTGGCCCACTCAGATTCCTTGAGTCCACCCCAGCGGAGCTGCCTTCAGCTGGAACGGCAGCCCATGGCCCGGCCCCGCCCGTGCCTGCGTGCCTGCACTGAGGCGGGGCGCTGACCCAACCCAGACTGTGGCTATCCTGACCCCACATCCCTGGGAGAAAATGGAGCTCCTTACGTCTGCTCGTATCCATCAGGCTGAAAACAAGGATCCCAGCCGAAGTCCCGGCAGCCTCGGGGCACCACAATCCGGCCCTGCCAGACGAAAGGGAGGGACAGGTATGTCACTGGCCATAGAGGAGATGCACTAGGAGAAGGGTAGTAGCCAGTGTGAGTTCAGTTTGGTTAAGCCCCATTTACTCAAAAGATACGGTTTCAAGGGGTCCATGGTACCTGCAAATGTTTGCTGAATACACAAATAATATGCAGTGGGGCAGCTCTCCCTTCTCTCTCTCTCTCTCTCTCTCTCTCTCTCTCTCTCTCTCTCACACACACACACACACACACACACACACACACACACACAGAGACACACGGAAGAATGACAAACTTGAGCCCACAGATACACTGATACCCCTGGGGTCACCTGCCCTCCCTAGCTTTCACAAACTGTGACCTCAATAAAGAAGAAAGTCAACTTGGAAAAAACTGACAGAAAACATTTTCTCTTAATAGAAGTTATAAGGTGCCAAACTATGCAAAGAAGCCCTCTGCCTGCTACTCAATTTTTTTAAACAAATGTTTTATTTTTAGTGAGAGAGAGAGAGAGAGAGAGAGAGAGAGAGAGACAGCACGAGCAGGGGAGAGGTAGAGAGAGGGAGAGAGAGAATCCCAAGCAGGTTCTGCACTGTCCCTTAACATGGGGCTCGATCTCACAATAGTGAAATCATGACCTGAGCTGAAATCAGGAATTGGATGCTTGACCAACTGAGCCACCCAGGCGCTCATTTTTATTATGCTAAGTGAAATAAATTGCTGCATTTCTCAAAATACAAAGGAGGCCCTAATAATTAAATGAAGAAACAGAAATCACTTAGCACAGTGTCCAATACACAAATGAGTTCAGTAAATACTGGCTGTAATAGGCAAATTCCAACAGAATAATGTTAACAAAGAACAATTTAACTCAGCATCATGAGCTGTCATGTTGCCATAAAAGTTAAAAAATAATAAGGGGCTCCTGGGTGGCTCAGTCAGTTAAGCTCTTGATTTCGGATTCTTGATTTCGGCTCAGATCACAATCTCACGGTTTGTGAGCTCGAGCCCCGCACTGGGCTCTACGCTGAAAGCGTGAAGCCTGTTGGAGATTCTCTCCCTCTCTTTCTGCCCCTTCCCTGCTCGTGCTCTGTCTCTCTCAAAATAAATTTAAAAACTTAAAAATAGTAACAATAATAATAATCTTAAAAATACAAGGGAAGTGTGCCTGCGTGGCTCAGTCAGTGAAGCATCCATCTAGGTTTCTGCTGGAGTTGTGATTTCACAGTTCAGGAGTTTGAGCCTTGCGTAAGGCTCTGTGCTTACAGCTTCAGATCCTCCCTCTCCCTCTCCCTCTCCTCCTCCTCTACTTGCTCTCTTGGTCTTTCTCTCTCTCTCTCAAAGTAAATAAACTTAAAAAAAAAATAAATACAAGGGAAGCGGTAGAGGATGAGGATGAGCCAGTAGCCATAACTGCCAAACTGTTCAGACCAAAGGCAAATTCTGCTACCGCTAGTGGGGAGCTATGTGACCAAGGCCCACAGCTGACCACTCTGAACCTCACCCACACCACGAACGGCGGGGCAGGCAGTGTTCTCAGCACTGGGGTCATAGCAGGCCCAGCCTTACCCTCATAGAATGGGTCTCTTTCGCAAAACAGGCTTTCCACCAGTCAACAGATTAACGATTACCAAATGCAAAGTGCCTTTGAGGGAACAGACAGGAAGCTGGGCTCAAGAACAACAGCATGGAGTAACCTAGATGAGGAACTCCATGAGGAGACACTTTAGCCACATACAGTGCTGGGCAAGAACACTCCAGGTGGTAGACACAGCCGGTGTCAGGACCCAAGATGGGGAAGGGCTTGGCACGGGCGTTGCAGAAAAGACAACGTGACTGGGTTTAGAAAGCTCGAGTGAGAACAAAACCAGAAGAAACAAAGCCACCTCAGCGAAAGCAGAGGCTGGCCAACAACAAAGTGCGTGAAGCAGCCAGAGCTGCGGAGACAAGAGGAAATAGGGAACGGGGACCCCAGGGAGCAAGCCCCATCAGCAGGGCCTGCAGTCATTCATATTTCTGATTTTCTAGAGAACATTTCTGTGAAAGTAGCAGACAACTACGACTAATTTTTCCCAGCAATTATGATCCAGCAATCCTGGCTCTGTTCAGCCAAAAGAACTGAGCACAAGATCAAGAGGTATCTGCACACCCATGTTCATAGCAGCATTATTCACAATAGCCGAATGTGGAGGCAACTGAAACGCCCATCGATGGATAAATGGACAAAACAAATGTGAATATACATACAATGGATATTATTCAGCCTCAATAAAAAGGAGGAATTCTGTCACATGCTACAACACAAATGATCCATGACGGACATTATACTAAGAAATAAGCCAGCCACAAAAAAGACAAATAATGTACGTAGGATTCCACTTATAGGAGGGGCCTGAAGTTGCCAAACTCTTAGAAACAAAAGTGGAATACCAGTTGCCAGGGTTTAGTGGGGAGGGGAAAAGGGGAGTTTTTGCTCAATGGGTATAGTTTCAATTTTGCAGGATGAAAAAGTTCTAGAGATCTGTTGTACAACAGGGCACACATTCTCTCTCTCCCTCTGCCCCTTCTCCCCTGCACACACTCTCTCTAAAATTAAAATATATATATATATATATATA